GGAAATAGCAAACCCTGACTGTGGTTCGGCCCTTCGCCCCCGGGGTGCACTCGATTGAGTGCGAGAGTTAGGAATGGAGTAGTAGTATCATCCCCATGAACGAAGTGTCGATAGACTCCCTGCCCCCCTTACCCTCTACCCCCTTGCCCTCTACATGTCCGTGTGTCCGACCCCAACCCAAAACGAACACAAAGGGCGACAAGTGCGCTGGCGACACTGGATGCACCCGCCGGGGTGTGTACGGCTGGGTAGACCACGAGGGTCGCTTCTGCAGTGATCACTGCGAAGAAGGTATGGCACAGCTCGTGGTGCGTGGGACGGGTCGAGAGTCTTTGTTGCGCAATATTGTTGAGAGGGGGTGCACTACGGGGGAATCCACACCGAAACCGAGCCACCCGGATCCAGCGGCGATGCAGGAATCATATCCAGATAGGTGTTGTGGCTACCGCTTCATGGCACACAATAGTCTCACAGAAAGCCACCTACAACGTCAACGACCACGCATTCTAAGCCCCCTCCCATGGTCAGGGTTCAGATACACATACCTTCAAAGGCCGGGTTAGAATCCAGATTACCCGAACAACATGGTATGGCGCTACGGCAGCGGGGGCACTCCACAACGCCACGCATGCGAATGCCTCAGTTGCAGTTGTTTTGTATCGTCGAGGGCACTTCAATGGAAGCGCGTTGTCTGGTACTGAGTGCGTAACACCCGTAAATCCTGACTCCAAGGATACCCGAAGTCACCAGACCGTCCGTAGCCCAATTTCGACGTTTGTCGGACGACAGGAAGCATTTCTGAGTTTGAGATTGGCATCGCTTCCAAGACCGGGAGATCGCCCGATTTCTCCCTACGGAACACATGTGCATGCACGGGCAGGAAGACGTTGGTGTCTTTCTGGTAACATTTTCGTTCTAACCACGAAGATACCTGACATCTGCCGGTGACTCCTCCCTGTAGCACGGGTTCAGCACCGTCGGAGGCAGGGCCCCTGAGATGACCAAAGGCCTCACCAGCCGTGCCGGGCAGGAAATCTGCTTCCGCGACAAGGTGAGATGAAGTAGAGCTGCGCGCAAGCGCATATTCACAGCTATTGGCCCATGGTTGTGCGTCAGGTGCCAGTAATGACAGGAATTAACGCGATAGATCGTTCAAATATCTTCGGTCAACCTGCTTCCCTGGAGGATGAGTACTCCGGGGATACAATGGGGGGTCTTTCGGAAGGTGGCATGTGTTGACAAATTTCCTAATACCTCAATCGTTCCGGGGAGTGCTGACCCTTGGTAGCTACGTCACCAGGCTACGTCACCAGACCACGTGCCGGCCCGCGTCTCTGCTCAGGTGTTCGTCAACGGTGACATAAGGGGTTTTCACCATACCATCGTCCTCAAGATCTTCAGCCGCGATGAACGTCAAAATGCGCATAGCATCCCCTGGGTGTTAGCCGGAGGACATGGGCGAGTCATCTTACACGCTACGGTGGCCCCGGTGCTCTACCCTGTATACCTGCCTTGAAGCGGGCTCGTGATAGGTGCCGTCGCAAGATCATTTCATGCCATCTCGCGTTCTTCCCAGTGCGAGACGGTTGCACATCGGCACAACTGAATATAAGTGTTCGTTGAAGCACCGTTAGTCGAGATAGGCGTGGGGACCCAGGGAACTGGACCCATTTGCTGACAAGCCTCACTTGTACTCATGACGTCCTCCGCGTCGAAACCGGTAGGGACGTTATCGTGCTGCTTTCGCGCCACAAGCCTAACTTCGCAACACCTGTTGCGCTTCCACCCTCCCCGTCCTGAACGCGTGCACATCAATGTCATTCGATGCTTCATGCCAAGGCTCGACCGCGAAGATTTGGTATACCGAGTCGGGGGGGACGTCCATGGCATCAGGTGAAAAGGTAATCTGTCACGCGTCTTAACCCTTTTGTGACTACACCCTCTCTCAGTGTCGATAGCAATGTTGGTCCTATTCCGAGCGTGTTGCTGCCAGCAGACGCTACATACAGTGCGCCGCCCGTTCAGGCTGTGCGGCGGTGATGTGTGCGTGTGTGTGCACGTGGTCTCTGAGCATGTGTGTGCTGTACAGTCCCGTGTGTTTGTGCGATTTGGTCAAGAGATCTGCCAATGTTATCAACCCTGTTCAAAAAGCAAGACGCATACCGTGAAATCGCGCCATTGTTATTCCGATTGTTATTCCAACTATCGACACTGCTATCGACACTGTAGTCCCCCCGGGGCGTTGGTTCACGTAAACAGCGGGATTTTCAAGACTCACGGGTAGTCTTTTTCATTATGGGCAGCGAGATTTAAGACTTGTAAAGAGTAGGGAGCCGCAACTTTACACAGGGGTGTGCTGCTTCCGCTGATGTTGATGGCGTCATTGAGCGGATACAGACCGAATGTAAGGGAGAGGGAGAGAGAGAGACAAGAATCAGAGAGAGACAGAGGAGAGGAGAGCGCGCGCTACGGCCGCTGCTCTGTGTAGCTGTGCTGCTGTGCGTGTGTAGAATGTGATCTTCGGCTGAAAATGCGGAAAATCCAAAATTTCGCCCGTCACGTAAGGGTTAACTACTGCTGGACATGGTCAGCACACGCGCTTGCACGCAATGTAATGTGATGTCCTCAAATGCCACGACGCTTGACGCGGCAGGTGTGTAGCCGTACATCCTCAGAACCGTTTGAAGTTGTGGCAGGGGTAGCCTTATAAAAAATTGCACCACCCGTGCAACCCTAACGGCGCTTCAACGCCGTTCCGGGCCGTGGGGAACTCATCCATTACTACAACACACGTTTACTGCCGCCCTATACGTTCCACGCCCAACTCCGTTCTTCCGCCAGACTACAGATGCAACACCGCCGAAAGGTACATCTGGGAGCCAAGTGAAATCCCCAACTGGCAGGATACAACCCTCGTTGCGAAGATGGCAAAGGCGATGCTCGAAATGCGTGAGGACGCTAAGCGGGCCGGATTTGGCGCCTTCCTGGTAAGCTGTACTTTTGCTTAAAGGACCCCGCATGTCCTGGCGCATCCACAGCCATCCACGGCCATGAACAGCGACCTGGGTGTCCTTCTGTTTCCTCCTATGCCATTCCTTCCCTATTCCAAGCACCACACCGGTCGAACATCTCGTACCTGTAACTGCATCCCTGAAGCTTGCTGTGTGGGACGGCGGAATGCCAGCGTCGAGGGGGGGGCGTGGGGAGGGAATTGGTTGTTGATCCACCGTCGTACTTGGTTTGTAAACCAAGAGACGGTGACGGCGGGGTTGGGTTGTATAGACGGCCAAGTTGGATTTGTCGATTCCACGGGCCTTATCGTCATTTTCACAACGGTGGTGCGACTTAACCCTTCCTCCTTCCTATAACTTTCGTGCACATCGTGTCTCGCCTGCCTGCTACAAACTCCGTTGACTGTGTGGCTGACAATGGGGGAATTGAGCATGGGTGACATAGTCTATGCACGCACGTGTGCGCTCGTGGCGTGTCCTGGCGGCAAGAGGCAGAAGTTCCTACCAGCAAAACAAGGCGGGCTTGTGAGACGCAAGTCTTCTACCATACATCGCGTGAAATGCTGTGCCCACGCGGTGAAGAACTGCTTACTTCTTTACTTTATTGTGCCTACAGAGTAGCTGTTGCATCGTCGTTCGTACATGCAACATAGCTTGCGCGGCGATTCATCGGGCGAAACTGTAGGCGTTCAATCATAAAAAAGAAGAAATCAGGACCCGGTCTGAGGATTCCAGGAATTGTTGGGCATTGCTGGACTTATCTGTAGCATACAGGGTTCGGTTCAACACTCGTCGCCCGGCGTCATGGGCACTTCTATGTATTAACCCTGCTTCCATTTGCGTTACAGGCTGCTTGTTTTGGGCGGGGTTGCGCTGTACACGAACGACCTAAGCCATTCAACATGTAACCTAGCCCACTACCAACAACCCTGCCTCATATATCCCTTCCCGTCATACGCCCCGCTGTCCTCCTTGTATCTTGCTCACCCCGCAAAGCGCCGAATATTCCTTCTGCCATGTACTCGCTTGTTCTCTTTGTCGAAAATTTTCTTGTCCGTGTCCTCACCTCATCATTCATGTCCCTCGCCCACCCCGCCCACCTCAACACAACCTTCTTTGGTTTATAGGGTGTACTCGTGCGTTAGCATGTGATTACATGCTATACACGTCTAACCCTGCCGCTTGGATGCCTGTTGATTCGCACTTATTTGTACTAGCCACGTCAAGACACCCAATCTAACACTAACCCATCTCCCCCCCCCCCACGCACAAACACACCGTCTGATTCATGTATATTTAGCTCCCACACCGGACGACACGCGATCATCCAGACACACCTCTTTGGTGCGGTGCCTACCCTACACTAATGCGCTGGTGCATACTGCACTGCTGTAGTACCTGGTACTGGTGTACGTTGTCCTTCGATTTTTATTTTTTTTTTGTGGGAATATATATGTGTTTGTTTTTCGCCCCCCGTCTTACTGCACCCCCTGGGGTGTGGTGCAGGGCGGGGGATGCCTGGTCGGCGGGAACCCGGCACGGAACCCTCCGGCGTTGTAGGCGGGTGTGGGAAGCGTTCCCCGTTCTCCTTTTATTTTATTTTGATCGGTCTCCTCGACGCTCTTTCTCGTTTGGTGCGGCAGCTGGTCTTTCTTTCTATCATTTTTTTCCTCTTCCGAGTGGTGTTTGTACCCTATTTTTTTCTGTTTCTTCGTGGGGTCATGTATGCCGGGTTTTGAGACCACGGGCTCCCAATCTTTCTTTTTTAGAGCTAATGTGAGAAACAACAACAACAACAACAACCTGGCTTCGGGTTCGTCCCGCCCGACTACGACCTCTTCAACGACGACCGTGGTGAACCGGGCCGCGGCGATATCACCATCGACGTGTCCGACTCCGACTCCGAAGGTACGCCGGACGATGACACGGACATGGCTTCCACCTCTGCACATGCCACGAGCATGCGGAAGGCATCTCAAGGAGGAGACGGCGACTTGCCGGCGGGAGGACCCGACCGGCAGTCGACGTCGCCGACGGCAAGCGCCGCGAGGTCCACACGGGGCAGTGGCGGCGCTGGGGGGTCCCGACCACGTGTGGGGGGGGAGGGCCACCACGAGTCCGCGTGACGTCGTCGACATCACCACCGGCACGAAAGATGGTCGCCGCGGTGGAGATGACGACAAGGAGACGGGCCAGGCCAACACCCCTACCACGGGCTCGGCCCCACACGCTAAGCGTCCGCGTCCTCCTCCCACCACGAACAGTAAGGGTTCGCGGGAGAAGAGGAACACGGTTATTGTGAACGGCTCGTCGGACACGGGAGACTCCGCCGAAAACCCGAAGGCTCCTGGTCCTCCTGCACCCAACGGTCGTGGAGGTTCGGGAGGGAAGGGGAAGAAGAAGAGCAAGGCTCGCGCTTCAGTGGCGGCGGGGTCAGGCAAAGCCAAGGGTGGTCGCAGTTCCGACGGACGCCATATTACGCCGGAGGAGGCGCGCAAGCTCCAGGAGGATGCCAAGAAAGTGAGCGACGAGCGGGCGAAGGAGCATGCCGAGGCTCACAGGGCTCATGTGGTCCACAACCCCGGCAGCGCGACGATGCCCCGTGCGTCACCTGATATATCCTCGCAGAGAGCCCAGGTACAGCAGTGTTTGGGTAGTAGGTGGTACACATTCGCAGGTGGCGTACAGGTACCAATCGAAATAATTGTCCTCACCGTGTTCCCTGTCGGTGACTTCGGTGTTTTGTGACGCAGTCATGTGCGACAAATGTATGGTTGCTGTCGCGACCGCCCCCCTCCATGCCCCTACAGATCGCATCATCCTCGATCGTCTTTGTGTCCCTTCGTACGTACCCGTCCTTTATGTTCGCACCAGGCAGCTTGGACGGCTCCCGGCGTCGCCCCTCAGAACCTAGGCCAGCATCCTGGGTCTGCTCACCAAAACGCCCAGGCAAGGAGTAGCATGGCGAAACAGGCGTACTGGCCGATATGAGTAGGCATTCCTCGGACCATGGAGGGACGAGCCAAGTCCCTCGTGTGCCTATTCATGTCGGCCGTGTTGTGTACAAAAGACAGCGACATTCCAAAGCGTTTGCGACGTGTTACACTCGCCAGACTACGAGAGACAGCGCTGTCAGCCTGTGCCTCTTTTGTGGTATAACCCCCCCCCCCCCCC